CACATTTCACTGCCGTTTTTGAACAGCACTCTCAACTACGTACACACGCTGTGTCCAAGTGTCATTGTGTTTTCTATAGTAGTCAATACTGTTTTCCACGCACAACTCCAAAATCGTACGTATAAAAATCAATTCGTTCCGATCAGCTTTTTGTATTATCATCAGAGTCAATTATTTTTATAACAAAAGTATCTTTCGACGTCGTTTTATACAGTAGAAGGAGTCAAGTACCTTTACAAAAGAAATCCAAAGTAATGCTACTTACAAATTGAGTATTATATACATGGGACTTCTTTGAAGTACGTACATACATACATGTACACACACAGATACACAGATACATACATGCATACATACACACATACATGTATACATATAAAATATATATGCATACACATATATATGCATGTATATGTATGTATTAACATTTTACAGTATCGTCATGCATCGTTACACTGAGAAATGCCTTTTAAATTGAATCTTTCCTATGGTTCGTTTCCTCCGTTTGCGAGGGCATACAAAATTTAGCGGCGATTCGCGATTTTTTAGGCTTCGCTACAGTTTGTGTGTTTTGCACTTGATGATGGGAACTGCTTTGCGGTGGATTGTGCTTTTCCGTGGCTGTCGCGACAGGCACGGTTTTCTGAAAATGAAACAGAGAATTTAAATACGATGCTCAAATGTATTCAGCCATACTAAAATGTTCAATTGACAATGCTTTCACGTTACCTTGGCAGGCAATTCTTTCTTCGTATGTTGAATCACTGGTTGGGGATTGTCTTTGGCACTTTGATTTGTCTCCTTATTGGTGCCACCTTGCTTGGCAATGATATTTCTACTCTTTTTCTGTGCCTGCAGTGGAACGAAGGATGTGCTGTTCTTCATCTCAGACTTTGGTTCACTTTGAGCCGACTTCGGTTGAGTGTGATGCATGTATTGATTATTCTGATTGTACATTTGTTGATATCCGGTACTGTGCTGCACTTTCGCCGTCCACTGAGGGAAATGTTGAGGAGGCTGAGGTTTCGGAGGGAAAAATGGAGCCCCCGTTGGTCTTACGTTTGGTGGCCAAGAGTTATTTTGTCGAGTGTTATACCAGTGCAACGATGGCGTCACGTGTATTTCCATATTTGGCAGTACATTAGCCAAATTCAATTCCTAATTAGAAACGAAGGCACAGATGTATTTGACAAACGGCAGATCATTGAGAGCAACGTATTAGGTCGTGTAATATGGAATGTTGGATTTTTCTTATTTATAAATGTTTGTATATATTCATTAAAAACACACTCAGAGCATATTTTCATCGAATCGTCTTTTAGAGTATTAAATAAAGTTTCCCATTTTCCGCAAAATCCGACATTTCATATTACCCGACCTAAAACTTCAAATTACCATGTACACTTTCTTCGCAGCGCTGCCTGCAGCTTGTTCGTGAGTTCCACATGGATCACTCACAAATGTTCTTTTATCTGGTAGGACGATGTGTGATCGAATCAAATTAGTTTCACCATCGGTGAAATAGCTGTAACGAGGCATTCCGGTTCCACTAAGTTGATAATAATGCAATAACTGCGAGCAATACCAAATTGTTGTTTTCTCGACTTTCTCATTCTGTCGAGCATGCTGTAATAAATGAAACTCGTATAGGAACGTAAGTTAAGCTAAGAAATAGTAGTATTTCGTTTTGAGCATTTACATCGAATAACTGTTGCACCAAAGGCGGTGTATCCAACACCTTGCTTTCCTCTTGGGGAACAGTGTTACTTGAGAGAGTTTCGGATGGTGTATGCTGTGCATCCTGTTGTGTATTTTCATCAGAAATTTTCAGGACTGCCTTTAGGAAAGCACTAGGATCTTGTGGCTAAAATAGATATGAATAAAAAAATTTGTTGCTTATAATTATACACATAACAGTTGAAAGAGGAGCAGAATAACAATGTAACAGTACTCACTGTATTATCAAGGAAACTTTTATTCATCTGTTTCACCTGTGAATCCATCGGGGCTTGTATCACAGTCTTTGTGAACTCTAATGATTTCTAATAAGAAAAGTACAAGGTTATTTAACTTAGAACCTGCCTGTGTGAAACAAGCCAGAACAGGAAATTCAAGTTCAATTTTTCTATTATGTTAAGCATTATTTAATCATTATTTTATCAGACTGCCATCTTCATATTTTTACAGTCTTATTAATCCTTACGTACTATGTGGTAACACCTCCTGCATCAGATCTGTCCAGCAGACCGTACACACACCTATTCTACACACAACTTTAAAAAAGCACTGACCTGCTGTACGTACAAACATTCTATACTATCAGATATTCCTTAGAACTTGTATCATTTCAATTTATGAATTTACTTGTTAACAAAAATCAGACTTTCTGTATATTTCATTTCTACTGCAAATGTTCAATCTGATTTGACGCAAAAATATAACGTTTATTGCATATAATACTAGCAAACTACAATTTCCATCGACTTCTTGTTTTACCACTGATTTCATCATAATATAATGGCACCTAAGTGTCAAGATACACTATTGTTCTTTCGACAATACAATAAACAAGAAAATCGTCAGATCAATAAAAAGATATGTTGAGAACAAGGTCTGGTACATTAGTTTTATTAATGCATAAAATGTCATCACAACACTAATAAAAGTAGCATCCATTCATGTCATACTATGCCGTTCTGGCTTGTCCTCGTGAGATAACAATGCTCTCTAAATTCATTTATGAAGCCATTAAACATTTATATGCTATAATACTCACCTGGGGCTTGTGTAGTTCATTCCATAACGCTTGGAACTCCAACGCCGGCTTCGCTGTTGCTTGCCTGTTCTGTACGTTCTCGGGGGGCACGTACTGCTGTGCATTCTTGATCATTTTGTTACCCTCTTGAGCAGTGGCGTTCTGGAAATTGCACTGTTTCCATTTGTAAGTGTTCGACGGCGTTAAACGGATCGCATGGTCTTTGCCATCGTTCTTCTGAATAATCCGCAGCTTCGACGACGCCTCTAGCTCTGAGCCTGGCAACTGACACTCTTTCCTGTGTGACGCGGAAGCGCTCGCGTTTGCGCACGATTGAGCCGTTTCATTGGATGCAAGCTTCCAGGCATCTATGGATTCTGCGTTCAGGTCTACCGATCTTGTCCTACTGTGCTCCGTTCGTTCGCCGTGGCTAATGTTTATGAAATCCAGCGCGGACAACCGGTAACCACGGAACTCCGAACAGCCGTTTATAGCGAGACCCCCTGCAAAAAGATTCAAACAATAATTCTCGTTCTCAGCGGCGTCCGAGTTTCACTTGAAATGGATGCTTCATTTACATGTGAAGGTTTTATCGAACACAACGTCGTACATAGTCTCCAATGGATTCGCTTCCCTTTGGATACCTATTACAATACCCTTATAACCCAAGGGGACCGTGAAATTGTTTTTGATGCAACACACCCTGTCCAATAAATAGGTTCTCGCGTTTGAATCGGGTGGAGCGTTGCGCAAATGCAAATCAGGCTTGAATAACAAATGCGGCTTCACTTGCATGGGCACAAGTTTCTCGTTGGGTTGATTTTTCAAAAATTCATCAACCTTCTCTTCCACTTTCTTCACCAAACTGGAATCTACGGTTTCTGTGCCGCATGGACAAGATTTCAAGTCTTGCAGTTGTTCTTTTAGCCATTCTACGATTTCGCTTAATTCGCCTGATCTGGAATGTTTAAGAAACTTAGGAATTGATTGATCTTTAAGTCACCACTTAGAGACGTCTAAATATAGGTGACCTTTAGGACACAGTCCCTTTGATAGAAGAGATCGCTTACCCCTCCTCGAACAAGTCTCTCTCCGCAAAAGTGTTTTTTACGTTCTGCGCGAGTCGTTCGAACAAATCAGGACATTTTACCATGTAACTGCGGGTTAACTCTACGGCTTTGGGACTGTAAAACCAACAACCATTCTCTTTTCGAGTATAACCGATTATCTATAAGGATACGTGCTATGAAATACATTGGATATTTCTATGAACGTTTAATGGTCGATGCTGTGTGCTTACTTCCTCGTTCTTCTTGTTGAACTTCAGATTCAAGCCAATATTATATTTCAGATCGTCTTGATTAAATTCAGAAGAGGCTGGCTGTACATAAATTGTTCCTGTAATTCTGCTTAAAAGATGGCTACTTATACCTAACCTCTGGGCAGCTGTGCTTCCTTGCATATATTTACTTCTTAATCTGTGGTGAATCTGTTTTATCTCATCTAATGATGGCTCTGAACTTACGGTTACCGATACTCGAATTCTACCCGATTTTTTATAAACCGCTGGCTCGACCACCTACGAACAATGTTTGTTGTAAAATAATGCATTCAGGTATTTAGATGTAGGATTAAAATTCCCACCTTTCCCATTGCACCGTAATGCGGATGTCCTAACATAAAGCATGGCGCTCCTGGCACGAAAACTTCGTCGATAGCCGTGTATGCCAGTTCATTGAAGCAGTGGACAGATATATCTTGTACTGTCGCTTGATAGGCGTAAACCGTTTGCGAGTCCGACCACTGCTTCTCAAAATATAATTTCCCATGACGGTCGAACATGTATTTGGAACCTATCAATCGTCGTGCGTGGATTAAAATGTTCGTTTCGCCAATATCTATACCCAAAAGACTTTTATATCTATAAATGTAATTAGTATTATAGTTTCGTTACAAATTTAATTATACAGTACACAACGTGCACAATTGATCATCAGACTTACACTTCGGTGATATGTTTCTTCTGAGAGTTCCATACCGCGAGGTGTGGACCTTTCAGTTTCTCCTCGTTTACGTTCTCTTGACAATAACTCCCTTGCGGATCGATTAAACTCAACTTCCTATCACTATTTGAAACGCCTATCACTTGAGCCTCCGTTAAATAAGGCCAGCTTACGAATACTGTTTTACCTATCAACTCAGATGCCACAGATGTTAGATCCTTCTCTGGTGGCGGTCTTATACGTAAAATCATATTATCTCTTCGTGAAAGTTTCCCAAATACTTTGACCTGTATTGAAGAATAAGCTGAATACAGTACTCTTGATACGTGTAAGAATTAGAGGAAGATGAAAACCTCACCTTAGCTTTCTCGAAACCTGCAGTATGTTCTATATACTGCAGTGTGGGAAAACCAGGAGAATATACTTCTAATTTTACACCTGGATGAAGTCCTCTAACTAATTTTTCTCGTGGAACGATAATGTCTTCAGAATGAATTAACTGTACATCTGCGTGGCTAACGACATCAAGAAAATATTCTGGTGCTTTGCAAACACCCTTGTTTTCCTCTGTGTAAAAGTATAAACACATTGGTCCATGCTGATTTCTTGCCTGCTCTTCGGATGTCAGTTTGGAGTAGCAAGTCGCCATGGCTTCAAAATATAGTCATTCGTTAACACTTCTTCAGAGATCAAAAATATATAGAATTATATCTACTTACCATCCAAGAGTAGTTTCTCATCTATAAACGGAAGAAGTACAACAGCTTCCCAATCTTGCTGTTTACCATTCAAATCCGTCTTAAAGTCTGCTGGGTAATAGTTAATAATAGGGGACTCCTCGTCTGTTAATAACGATTGAAACGCTGCCGGTAATAAATGTTTACTGTACGGTGGCAATACAGCTAACAGTTGTTCGAATGGTAAAAATGGTTTTGCTAAATCAAATTCTAATTTCAAATCTTTAAAATCTTTTATATCTGACATGTAAGGCGCATAATGGTGTGGATAATACCACGACCAGCTACAACATCCGTTGTAGTAATAATTCAAATTCCACTGTATAGCTCTGACATAGGCTTCAGCTTGAGCACGTAGAAAATTCCTAAAATATTTATCAATAAGAGCATAGAACGATACTGGATTATAGTATCTTTCTTTACTGTACATGCATGTACTTACTCATCTATATTTTCATATTCTAATTTGTTCATGTAGTAATCCCTTTTATGTTGGATAAATTCCAAATTGTAGGTTTCACTATCGGATTCATCATCATCTTCATCATCATCAAACCTTCCTAGTGGCTACATCAAAAAGCATTAAACAAAGTGTTCTATAGAGAATCATTTAGTATATTTAAGTAAATACCATATCAGCAGCAGCTCTAAGTAAAGCGTCAAATTCTTTGTCTTGTACTTTTTTGGGGGAAGGAACCTCTTCACCATCTTCTACTTGCTTACTAACAGGTTTGTCACATTCTGTGTAACGTCTTCCTGTTTTACTTTCAAGGTACTTTAAATCTGCGAAATGCTCAGAAAATTGTAGAATGTCGAAACGACTGAGCCTTTCCACGAATTTCTCGAATCTGTCTAATTTTAACGTTCCCGATTCATTTATATATCCTGCAACAAATTGCTTCTTTAAGGAAACGTCTGAAACCTATTTGTTTTAAACTTTATGAGTTTCTTAATATGGATAGTACATATATACCTTCTAAAGTTGGTAACACGTCTATATACACTTGATACAATATAGATAATGCTCCACGTGTAATGTGTAAATTTGGCAAATGTGGAATAAAGTCATTCCCTACTAAAAAACCCATTAAAACCCAATCATCGATAATTTTTTCAATATCATAAGGGAATGGCAACTTCTCTTTCAATGAAGAAAATTCAAGATCTATATATTCTCTTAACAAAGATAAATTAAAAAGACAGAACTGGGTTTCCTCAGGAGTTTGAATTTTTGTTTGTTTTTTACCAAACTTTACTTCTTCTCTGAGTAGGGTAAAATATGCTTCATGAGTGCATAAACCCAACATTATTAAATCTGCATCTAGTCCATATAAACAATGTCTAGTATTTGGATTATAATCTGGTTGAGATTTCATGTAACGAATGTAATCCATTATTTTATGTTCTCCTTCTCCAGGAACCTACAATAATATTTATCTATGCATAATATATTCTTTAAATTTATTCATTTTCTATTTTATCAATTTCCATACCTGAGATCCGCTAAATATAACTTTGCATTTTCGCCAAAGTTCGTCAGTGGAAATTTTACATGTAATAAAATATTTTAATTGTTCATTCAGTTTAGCCATAAACAACGTTCCCGGAGTTATACAATTGGAATCAAATTTCTCTTCCCTAGGTATGTAAATTCCTTTCGCTTTTGCTTTAGCTTCTTGTATCTCCGAATCTTTTGCAACTCTGAAGCGTCTACTTCTTTGTTGATTAATCTTTGCACGCGGCGCCACACCATCAATTGATATAAAAAACAACTTTTGTGGTCTTATCATACTAAATAATATTTCAATATAATGAAATATATTTTTGAATATAGTCTCTTCGGTAATACGAAACGTAACATCAGAGTCAGATGGATGAGAACATCCATGTATGATACCATTCACATCTAAATATAAATTATCAAACACTGGTGTCTGTAAACAATGAAATTATCATTATTCTTGGTATTAGCGAACAAATAAAAATTATAACGATAAGATTCATTTAATCGTGACATAATTATTTTATGTTGTTAGATTGGAGATAAATTTGATGCAACAGATCAACGTTTATAATATGCGCAACAATGCGATGCCTTAAATAAAGTAAACAAATTGAACAAAATTATACGCAAAAGAGAAACTTATAGGGTAAGCATTGTTTATTTTTTTTATCAATCACCTGATAGTCCTTTAACATTTGGCTAAGAGCAGGATATCTTTCGCTTATGTACATAAAGAACTTCGGTATCCCCATTTTATTTGCAAAGTTTTCGAACAACTTGAAGATTTTGCGTGGCAGACACTGTAGAAACTTAAAGCTCCTTGTCAACGGAGTTTTTACAAAAATTAAAAACAGTAACCGTAAGTTTACTTATCAACTTTGCTTTAATGTATTCATACATAAATCGGATTCACATAGACAGGAAACTTGAATCAAACATTCAATATACATTTGTATGTAGCGCTTGGATGACAGTGGCAACTTATTTTCCCTAAAACTAAAACACTATGATTAATAATGTTACTATTATGTGTTTAGTGGTTATTTAGGGGACTAGTTGTCTCAGGTTGGTGCTGGCGTTTTGTAAAATACTAACTGTGTTCTTAAACTAACTTATGTATGTTCGTTTGTACATCTTTCAGTAATATTGTAATTTTTTAAATGTATAGAAGCAACGAATCGTTTTAATCAATTTCACGTAAAAGAAAACAACAAATCAATATTTTCCGTATTATTATGGTTTATTGTCATAATTTCTAATTACGTATTACGCAAAACAGTGAACCATAAATATAGTAATTATTCGATATTTTTAAATTGTACGATAGAAAAAAGGACAGATTATTTAAATTTTACTCGACCGATTAAAAATTCCACGAAAAAACGATCTTATTACCGAAAAAAGAATTTCATTTAATTGCGCGTGAAAATGCAATTGAACGCTTCCGGTCAAATAGTAGCGTTTTCGAAGTTACTATAGAATCGATAAAGAAGTTCAGAATGGAAGCCAGTCATAAACAGCTTATTTATCTTCTTAATAATTGTTCGCCTCGACTATTTACGACACAGAAAAAATCATCCTGAAGCTTCGCGTAGGTACTGTCGAAATTTCATTTTAATTGCAACATTTTCGGACCAGCAAAAGCTGTTTAATTTTCCAGGAAACATCTCATCGTACACTTATCTTCTATTGCCGAGGACTTAACCTTAAGTAGTATTGGATTAATATTGACAGAAAATATCCCGTTTTCTTTGTTACATGTACTAATATAATTACACAACAATGTTTTCAATAATTATAAAGTAAAAAGGGTGTTCATCAAATGTCACAAATGTTATTAATGAATTAGCAAGCAATCACTCTAACTTCATGCAATCTTAGTTGCAGATGATCAATGTTGGAAGGATGGTATTGTCGTTCAATTGCAAACAACAATGCAGATGCAGAAGACGATGACGAGGATAGTCCAGAGGAAGAAGTGCCTAATTACAAGGATCAGTATCGAAATCTTAAGAGGAAATTGAAATTTTTAATTTATGTACGTGTACAACTGCAGTAATCGGATATTTTTTATCTTTAAATGTATTTATTCGATCATTTGTTATTTGATATAGGAGAATGAATGTTTCCAAGAAGCTTTACGGTCCACGCAAAGGAAGTTGCTTAAAGTTAATAGGGATAAAAGTTTTTTATTGGACCGTTTATTGCAATATGAGAAGGTAGATGCTTCGTTTAGTGAAAGTGATGAAACAGAGTCATCCGATGAAGAAGTCACTCGTTTAGATACTTCAAAAAGGTATATAGATAAAAGTTACTCTTTCCTGAGATAAACTTTTCCAACAAAGTTTATATTTCTTTTTAAGGAAAAAAATGGAGATGGGTATTAGTAATCATACCTCACACCACATACCAACAGTGACAAAACCTTTTAACACCAGTAAAAAGAAAAAACCTGCTCCAAAAGTGACAAAATCAAACAGTATACCTATAGTAAGTTATTGTATAAAATTGTTGTTAATAACAATTTTACAAAACTCGTGTATTCTTTCAGGTACAATCATCCAATAATATAGTACCAATGTCTTTAATGTCGGATGGTCATATGACACCAGAAGAAGTGGAAAGACACTTAGAGTCTCGTCAGACTTATTTGGAGCTTGTACCGGAAAAAGCACCACCTACAGTACCAACAGAAATGTTCAGCAATGATCCTTCTTTGGATAGGTGAATGCTTCGATTATTCGCATGTGTAGTAATGATAATTTTAGAAATTTAATAATAGTATTTCACTCGCAGCGAGTCGAATGAAATCGGAGAACTGGAAACATCTCCCAGCAATATGGGTGAAGATTGTCTCAGTGTAGACATGATGGCGGAGTGACACACATTCGTTTATAGTTTAGCGGTTAATTACAAATTGCACATAATTATATATTGCGTTAATATTACTTTATTCGGCTAACTTAACTGTACTCTTCGTAACGTAATACAAATTTTTATACAGGTAAAAAATCATTCTGAATATCTCGCTCCTCTTTGTATATAAAAAGAAAAATTTAATTTGTGCTCGACAATTTTCGTTCGTGTTTCACACGCAAAGCAATTATGATAATTTCCTTCCAGCATGATAGAGTACCCATCCGTTATTTTAATCTCGATGTCTTTGTTATTTTTTCTCTTATTCTACATGAATGTATACAGTATTACAGTTTCACCAAAAAGTTTGGTTTTATTGATAGAAAAAGACAAATACAGTAAAAACTATATTGGATTTAAAAAACAGACCTCGAATAAACTATAAATCTAATATATCACAAGCTTAAAAGTTACTGTACACTTTTTCATCCATAACAACGATCGGTTTCATTAGGATGCTCTTCTTTTAATTGAAATCTTCCCCCGACTCAACTGGGATATATATATTCGCACTTTACTCCCGTCTGAAACTTTCTTCACCCAGATCTATCAACAAAAAGAATTATGATAGACGTTAATACAATAAAAAAAATAATTTCATTAAACTGATGATAACTATTCGCTTACAGCCTCGGTTCCAATAGCGGAAATATTTGCCGCGAATCTTGTTAAATCCTTTCCTTCCACGTACACAGGTTGCCCACGATGAAACCTGCAATTATTTAACATAAAGTTCTAATTACTTTAATTTTTTATCAAAAGAAACACTTACCATCGCCTTTCATGCAGAAGTTTTCCGTCCTCTATCCTAGTTTCTACTAAGGGTGTTTCAGTAGGTGTAGGAATATGTTGTGAAGCCATATTTACCGCATTAAAATGCGGAAATACCGCTAAAATCAAGAAGTTCCATTAAACCATGCATATTGCATCGAAATTTTTAATCAGTACCTGGTTTTCGAACAGTAGTCAGTACTTTACCCCGACTAATAGCTTTCAAATCACTCTCAATTTCTTTCTCATCTAAGAGGTAATTCAATTGTGCTGGAGGAGGTTTCCTTCGTTTCTCTACTTTCTCAGGAACAGGATCATTGGGACGTCTTCGTAATTTCCTTGTCATTACAGGTTTCACCTAAAAAATGACAAAATCTATACATATACATTAAAATGAAATTATAATTTCTTTGTACTAATATTTGTACCTCCATTGAGTCTCCTGTGAGTTCCATAGTATGTCGGTCACTTTCTATCATCTTCCGTTTCTCCTCCATGTCAGTTAATAAGTTCTCTTTTAAATCTATCTTCTTTTCCTCAAATTCTTTAACTGCTGCTTTCTTCTCCAATATATAATCTCGTTCCACAGACTCTGTCAGATAATCTCGGTAAATTATATTCAATCTTAGTCTACAAAAAATTAAATTCAGTCAATATGGTCTATAAAAAAATTATATTGGTATATCATAAAGCTTTCAACCTCTCTCTATATTGAGCCTCCAAACGTTTCAACTTGCGATTATACTCTGGATGAGTGCCATCCTTTAATTGTTGTAATTGTTTCTTCAAGCTGGCCAATTTGTCCTGATATACTCTGAAAACATATATTATTGAATCATTGGATTAAAAGGTATTTTCAATTCAATTTTATATCTTACTGCTCCTTTATCTCTGTGTACTCTTCAGATTTTCCCAGATCAGTCTCGCTTGCTTCTTCAGTATCTACAGTAATATATTAATTATAAAAAGACGAATAACTACATTAAATATTTTACGTTAATAGCCAGTACCTTCATCGCTCTCGTCTTGTTCCTCAGCATCACGATCATCTTCCAAATACTCCTCATTATCTTCATCAATGTCGTAATCGTCCTGACCATACATGGTCGAGAACGGTGAATCCTGATACGACATTTCAGAACGAAATAATCATTCCTTCGATTTTACTTGCCGAATTAAAATTAACATAAATGAAGTAGGTAAACAAATAATTATTTTTCAGAGGTTAAATACTTGACAAGTGTAATGGAGTTCAAGTACATTCCTTACGGTGCATATTTGAATATATATTATGGTATAAGTATCAAATAATAAACAAATAAAACATAAATATATGAAAAGTAAACTGCAGAATAGATGCAATTTTATTTGGTATTATTCACACGTTAATAAGACCAAATTGACATGACGCATTCTGTGATGACTCCAAGAGGGCTCTAGTGTAGCATTATAATTTCTAGTATACAAATTCGTGTAATAATTAATTGAGACCATTAAATGTTGCATAAAATAAGGAACATCTGAAAAAATGTATTTTTATCATATAAAGTTATTACAAACTTATTAATAAAAATTTATGAGTATTCTCAAAAGAAGTTTAAATGACGTTACAGAAATAATATTCTTTGCATGGGTCTCAATCACGATGGCTATCATATTCAAATCCAACTACCAATCAAACTAATACAATATGAAAATACGTTATACGTGCCTATAGAACTTAAATCAATTTAATTTTGATAATTGTATAGATTAATTAGTAACCGTTTTTTAAATAAATGTTAAATTAAACACTTAGATTGCGCGCTTCGTTCAAATATAGTTGGCAGCACGTGCAATTGGTAGTGGTTTTTAACGTACTTCGCAGTTGTGTAGTTGCGGTTTTAAAATGTATGCACGAGTGTTGAAACGCATTTAAACATAATACCGAGATTTCTTGCGTGTTTCTAAATTACATGGTGTCACAGATACTCCGTTGAACGGTATTGTAAATATACAAGCTGTAAACTCGCAATAATCATCTTCGCAGAAACGTGACGAGTTTACTGAAATTTGGCGGTAACATAACCTTATTTTGACCTTAGCGAAAGAGTGTATAAATGATTTTTTCGCGTTCGCTCTGTTTTAACATTGTCCGTAAAAAATGAAAGAGTTGGAAGAAGTGAACTGTGAGGTAATTTTTATCGTTAATAAATGCTTCTTTTCCGTTCATTTTCGAAATGTCCATATAGTTGTTAGATAATGACTGTTTATGCATTTTCATATTTAATGAGAATATTTTGTGGAAGTAGGAATGAAATAAAAATTTATATTTTCTATTTAAGATTTGAGATGAAAGTAAGAGAGTACTTACATTGTGTCTTTATTAGAGTTTACATTTTATAATACACTTGGATTCATTATAAATGCATAACAATTGTGGAATTGATATTTACTTTTTATTTTATGCTTAGGTTCGTAACGTTATAGATATTCAACATAAGTTCTTTACTCGATCGAATAATGCTGAAGGAGATGAAGCTGGATCGTTTAATGGTTCGCCGGTGTACAATGGTTTTGATAGCCATTGCGGGGGCTTTCTGAGTGATGCCAAGTATGCTTGGTTAAGCCATGGTTCCCATTTAGTAATTCTCAATACGAAAAGTGGAGAAAGTATCAGTTCTTGGACATTTAGAGGAAAAATTACTTGTGTGTGTCAATTTCCAGCACAGCCTGGGGAATTACCATTGCTTCTTGTTGGTTTGGATAATGAAGCCACTAGAATTAAAGATTCCGTAGGATTATTGTGCATTTTTGACTCTACTACCTCCCGTGTTTTAAGAGCTATAAAGGTATGTATTGTCGAATTATTTCAAGGAAATTAAAATCATATCATTGATCATTTTTATTTTTGGTAGATGCCAGTTGGTGTTGAACAGGTTTGTATAGTGACTGGTGGAGCAGATTGGGAAGAATTTAATGACAAAAGACCGGATAATATTCTAATGCAAATGGATGGGATAGCTTGTGTAGTATTGCGTAATCTGCATCATCTTATGATTGATCTTCAAAGATCCGTTTGGGAGGTACTCAATGATTTGTCTCTTGTTATGGATGAAACTTCCCCGGCTGAAATAGAATTTCTAACATCTAAGGATTCCCTTCATAAAAATCAATCTAATAAGAGTAAACACATGGTTTGCAACTTATTAAATCAGCGTAAGAGAATCTTTGCAATATTTCTTGTTATTTAATTTTTCTATGAGAACATATAAGCATATTTGTATATTTCTAGGTGTGGAAAAACATATTGGTTTTAACAGAGAAGAATTCGAATCAATTGGTCTTCTAGATGAAAAATTAACCAATACCATTATTAGTTCCACGAAAATTGGTTGCCTAATATCTGGATGCTTAGGTAGAGTTATAATATGGCAAAATAATGGTTCTGTAGGCTGGATAAGTTTACCAGTAGACGAGACTATGATAATAACACATTTGGCTTTATTGGAACCAGCTGACGATCCAAGACCCTTTTATTATTTGTGGGTCGTTTTTCAAGATGAATCATTAAAGGTGCCTTCCCTATTGAGGATGTATGCCCTACTGTTCGAGCGAAAATTCTGCAACAAAGGAACGAATTTGTATTTCAATCTAGAAGTGGAGCCCAGCCTTAAATTTGAATTTGAATTGGATGCAAATGATAGAGTGGTCAATCTATCTACTATCGAAAGAGAAACCAATCTAGACCAAATAGAATCAGAATCTAAACGAGGGGAAGATAGTTTGTTATTAATTTCGACCGCCAGTCGAACGTTATTGTTCGATTTAAACCAATGGTACAAAGAACAAATGCCTCGGACCATTAGCGAGTGCAAGAATCCTAATAGTATATTGGCCAGTTATAATACTAAAATTCGGCGGACTAACACATCGAATAATGAAATTGTCAGTTGCACTTATATTCCTCGTTCTCTACAAGAATTTCCGAATAACACATTAAGTTCATCAGAAGAATTGTTCTATCCAAATTCATTATCACTAGAATGGATAGAATTGAGCATGTCAAAATTAACAATTTGGCTGACCCGGGGTGTCCAAGCTGAACTACTTCATGAAATAGCTCTTGCTGGGCCAATCGTGTTAACTCAACCTTCCGAAATGTTTCACAAATGTCTTTCTGTCGGTTTGGTGCCATTTAACACAGAAGTGTCCTTCTCAAGTGATCATAATTCTCAAAGGGACATGCTGCTGTCTCTATGCTTGGAACAGCATTGGGCAACTTTCTTAATAAGGTGTGCCAAGGAATGGTCAGATGGAAGTGCAGGATACATGTACCCAAGTTTCTTGAAATGGGGTATACAACGGGCTGCAACTATAAAAATGATCGCTGATCATTTGTGTATACCTCTGTTTGATCAGTCAGGCAACAATATCGGAGAGTCTGAAGTGAAAACCTTAAGATTTTGTTATCAACAATTGGAATGCTTATCCAATGTGGTATCAAAGTTACCTCTTGAAACGAATAACTTAATCAAACAACGAAGAGCGCTTAAACGCGTATCCGTATATTTCCAAGTGCTCCTCTGGTTCTATGACGTTGGTTTACTACCCGAAACACAAGAATTTGAAGAAGGTTCTGTATCCATGTCTCACACACCTAAAATTCCTTATCCATACGAGAAATTGTTTCATCTGTACAAGGAGAAAAGGGAGTCCGTTGCAGACAAGGAAAACAAAGTTGAGGATATGCTCTTTATAGATGAACTGATAACACGGGAATGCCCTAGTTTAAACGTACAGTGGCAAAAGGAATCTGGAGATACATCTACCAATGGTTACTACCCTCCTCCATCGTTGCAGTCTTTACTGAGAAGTTATTTAACCGACTGCAACCAAGAAGAGACAGATAATCTCGAATGCAAACATCAAATTACCAACTATCTTTTAATGGACTTGGCCTTGCTGCTACAAGGATCTTATCCTGGCGTAGACCAATTGGTCAAGTATCTTTCATCGTTCAAAATGAATCCTAGCATCGTGAAACTGACACAAGCATTCTGGCTTCTGGATCATGAGGATTATAATGGATTTTTAGACATGATGAATGGCCAGTTGATCTTTGATTCTGATGTCAAAGACTGGCATCACAAGTTAGTATTGAGGACCCTGATAAGGAACAATCAGCACAAACTGGCTTTGATGTATCTACGCATAAGAAAGCCCCCTCTGTCGTCTGTTCAGGACCAGAGTACATTGATCGATCTGTCAGTGGAACACGGCTTGGTCCAATCAGCCTTTCATCATAGACCAAGATCTCATTACGAACAATTATTAATGTGTTTCTTCCAATCGTGTAAAGCTTACGATAAACTCAGTGACATTTTACATTTGGCGTTAGATACAGAAGAGGAAGAGATGTTTGTCAAGTTTTTGGAGGCATCCAAGTCCGAGGACATAAGGTTGCTTTACTACTTGCAACGATGCCGGTATATGGAAGCGAACAGTGGAAGTTTCGCCGTCCGATTCAGCGGTACCAATTCTAAGAACGATCACTCCGATATGCTGAACGCTTACAACGCGACTTTGCCCGACATAATGAAGAAGTTCTCCATGAGTATGAGTAAACCGAACTCGAACGCAAGTTTGGAACCAAGGTACCCTAGACCAATGACCTACAACAATAAGAATTACCAACGAATTTCCAGCATTTACGAGACTGTTATTAAAAAGGCGAAGGAAACTTATCACAGAGACGAGAAATCCGTGATCCCCTTCATCACTGCTCCGTGCACCACGCTGAAGTCGCACGATGACCACATTAATATAAATTGCGTCATGTCTCCGAAGATCGTGGAGACGCATAGGAAGCGTACTTTGGATGAGGTGGATAACGAAGAAGAGAGCGATTTGAGGACACCGGAGAAGATCAAGCGTAGGAAGCTACTGGACGATGGGGAGGCAGCTTTGAACGCAGCGTTCAGTACTCCCTTGGTAAAGCGTAAAGTATCCCGCAGTGATACTCGCATCGAGACCCCTCATTCTATTTTGAAAATCAGGCAGCTTATCCGGAACTCAACGTCCCCGAACGTTGGTCCTGTACAGGAAGTTACGGACAGCCCGGTCTCTGATAAAGAGAAGAAGATCAATAGACAAATACGATTCAACATTTCCCAGTCGAAGAAGAACGCTTCCCACGATGGGGTCAGTGGCGACGAGAGTTTTTCCACGATGAATGCCACCGAAGGAAGCGAAGAAGCTTCCTTCAACTCTGCGGTGAGTGAAAAGTCGTACACCGACAGCACAGTCTTGTCGGATGGCAGCTATACTTGCAAAAACGTCTATACTGCTCGTCCCAGACCGAGTCTCAGGAGGACATGTCTGCAAATACCCACAGAATCGTTTCAGGATTTGAAGAGAAGAAGTTCTATGAACTCTCGTTTGGAAGCATCGAATGTGTTGGAGAACAGCATCACAAATTCGCCAAAAGCTATGCCAAGAGCATCCGCAGGGTGCACTTCAAGGTTCTCTGTTTCACTCCATTCACCTGCTATACTTACTCCAAACAGTAGTTATGAAATTGATACTTCTAAACAGTTCCTTGAGAAGCCCGTGCGACGGACTGCCAAGTCTAGTTGCATCGATGCATCTGTTTCTTCTGTAAAGAGTACCGAAGAAACGTCGTACCTCGATGTTGAAGAGCCAATGATGATCGACAAGGAGGAAGAAGCAGAAGAACTGGAGGAATTAGTAGAAGAAGAGGAGGAGGAGGATGCTATATTGGATACATCGTCGGATGTACAAATCACCTCTCCGACTATACCTAAAGCCAATCACTTTAAGTTCAACGATAATATATTAAATAAATATAAGAACGGAGATATTCCACTGGACAATGGAAAACAAAATGAGATTATTCACAAAGTTCAAGGACACACAGATATGGAGAACGGTGAACACTTTGATATTACCGACGACGAGTCTTCTAATTGCGCTGATGCGATGGTTCTAGCTCTTGATAAGAGTGCTGATTTAAGTCAAGCGTCTAAAACGCAAGCTTCCGCGGACAACGAGTATGATGCTTTGAATATCACTGATGATGAGTCTGATGCAAGTATTCAGGCGGAAACTAAATTCGCTGGAAATGAAGAAAAAGATACAGATGTGTCGTTACATCTGGAGATCAATAACTTCAGAACTGGCGCAGCAGTGGATAAAGCTAGCCCTAGTTCAGTTCAGTATATTAAAGAAACCATTAACACTTCTAGCATAGATGAAGAGTTCTCGCTTGTTCGCGATAATGTCTCCACGAGGATGACCAGATCTAGAAGAGCTTCTTCAGTAACGAAAGAGATAAGTTCACCGTCTACATTAAATTCCCCTTCTAAGATTGTTACGAAGACCACTACGAGGACAAGAAGAGCAAGTTCATTGATGAAGGAAGTATTAATTGCATCCGTTGCACCTACGGATGAAGGTACTAAGCGAAAAAGATCATCTGGGTCGGAAGACTCTTCGAGCAGCTCTACTCCAAGGAAAACAAGGGGTGGAAAGTCATCACAGGTGGCAAAGGATGTTACGCCTACAGAAGAGCAAAGAGAAGAAGATACATTGACCTCTACCCCAAGGAAAACAAGAGGTAAAAGTGCTTCGACGATAAAAGATATTTCTCTTGTAGAGGAGCAAGGTGGACAAGGCTTGCCGGTCACCTCTATGCCAAGAAACACGAGGAGTAGAAGATCATCGTTGATAGGGAAGAATATTTCTCTTCTAGAAGAAGAAAGGGAAGACAGTTCATCGGATTCTCTTGTGCCGAAGAGGACTAGAGCTAGAAGAGCGTCGTCGATAGCAAAAGATATTCATTCTGTGAATGAGGAAGGTGAAAAAGAACCATCGAACATTGGTACGCCAAGGAAAGCTAGAGGCAGAAGGGCATCGTCTATAGCAAAGGATGTCCATCCTGTAGAGGAAGAAAGTAAAGAAGAGTCTCCAAGCACCTCTGCATCAAGAAAAGCTAGAGGCAGAAGGGCATCATCTATAGCAAAGGATGTCCATCCTGTAGAGGAAGAAAGTAAAGAAGAGTCTCCAAGCACCTCTGCATCAAGAAAAGCTAAAGGCAGGAGAGCATCATCTGTAGCAAAGGATATTCATCCTACAGAAGAAGAAAGTAAAGAAGAGTCTCCAAGCACTTCTACGTCAAGAAAAGCTAAGGGCAGAAGAGCATCATCCGTAGCAAAGGATATTCATCCTGTAGAAGAAGAAAGTAAAGAAGAGTCTCCAAGCACCTCTACGTCAAAAAAAGCTAAAGGCAGAAGGGCATCATCCGTAGCAAAGGACGTTCATCTTATGGAAGAAAAAGGTGAAGAGGATTCACAAGGCACCTCCACACCGAGGAAAATTAGAAATAGAAAAATGTCGTCTGTGTCAAATGATACTTCTCCCGCGGAGGAAACGGAAGAAGTCAGAGTGCCTGTGAGGAGAAACACAAGGCGGGCTGCGTCTGTACAGAAAGAAATACCAGAGCCAACGAAGATCAGTAGGACTTTATCTTCCTCGAGTTTAGGAATTGAAACCGAGGATGAGAAATCAACCAGAAGTAGATCAACCAGGAAACGTGGTAGTTCTGTACCAAAAGAAGTAGTAGAAGCGCCGAGAACTCAAAGAGCCAGCAGCGTGGCGAGTGAAGTTATTTTAGAGAACTTTGAACCTCCACTGGAGGTAACGAAGGGAAGACATTCGATGATGTCGACAGTAAGTAGTCCAGCTGGTAATACCCGCAATCGTAGGTCGTCGATACAGTCCATACCAGAAGAATTGGAAGAGATATTAAGTGTGCCATCGAAAGAGAGTAACAGGAAACAGGCAACACAGATTCCAAGGCAAAGAAGAGCTGCAAGCGTTGAGCTTTCCCAATCAGATTCAATTAGGAGAACTAGAAGTACTCGTAGCAAAAATATCCTCAAAGAGACCATAGTGGAGGAGGAAGTAGCGAAGGTAGAAACTGAAGTGAACGCGGAAGCTTCCAATACGAAGAAAAATGTAACAAAAAAGACAGGTATTTCGTCAGATACCATCATTGAAGAAGAAGTTACACCGAAAACAAAGAGGGGCAGGAAACTGAGCACGAAACAGGATACCAATGACCAGTTTTCATTTTCGCAACCAGACGAAACACAGAATCCACCTGTGGATCAGAAAGGTAATTTACAATAGTGTTTCTGGGACATTTTTTTATATTACAATATTATTAATACTTCTCAATATTTTTTTAGCCATTGGAGAAGTGCCCAACTATGTGTTTTCACCGCCTCATACTAGGTCAAAGACCACAACTTCTGATAATCGTAGGTGGTTACTTTTTTAATTAGATTAATTTCGTTCGTTGACAGCACAGTCCTACTTCCTATCTGCTCTGTCAACAATTATACTGATTTCTCATACACTCAGAATTTAGCAACATAGTTATACAAACTGTTTATACATCGATTATGAATTATAAGCACTAATTTCTCTTTTCTTTGTAATTACATACTAACTTTTTTTTTATTCTTTGTATAGGAGATTAAATCGTTTTATTCTTACTTTTGAGTGAGGATGAAACAGAAGAGGATGAAACACAGCACATTGTACAAAGAATGTCACAGTTTAAACACACGGGTAAATGACATTCAGGTTACTGTAAATTATTTACTGTAAATCATTGTAGGACAAAATTTGTATTACCTAAAAAATCAAATAGTACAAAAAAAAATTAAATGCAGCTTCGTGAAATTTCCTTTTTAACCGATTTTCCTATTTTGAATCAATTACATGCTGTCATACATACTATTAATAGTTGCAAATTTTTACCATCTGACATAATTTTTCTGAATACTTGTGATTATCTTTTTTTGATATTTTCTTTATATAATAAGAAACTATGATACATGCGATCATAAGAGACAGAGCTCAGTCACTGAAAAAAATACGTTTGTTTTTGCTATTGAATATGTTATCAGTGAATGATCCCATATAATCTTTGAGCTTAAAATATTTTGTTAATATAATATTTTGCGTAGAATATACTTTTAAAACTATCATACTTTGTTGAGAAAATTATTTTGCATAATATATAGATTTGTTCAAGTATTTTTTATCATCTATGCATCTTGTATTAAAGGAATATTTTATACTTGTTTTGTTATTTCCTTTGTCTTAGAATTTCTAAACGAATAGGTAAATGTACAGAGAAAAAAATTTGTTGATTTCTATTTTGAAAACAGTTAAAGAATGAAGAATTATAAGAGTGTATTATATCGAATGAGTATCTAATATTAATACTTACATACCATAAAACGAATTACTTTTATACACTATTCATCAAATAAACTTGTTATATTATTAATCATTTTTTTTCTCACAAGTTCATGAAATGAATAACGATACGATATAATAACGTGTATGGGGTTTTCAATGAAAACGTGTATTATAGCTTTGTAAATAATTTATTAATATACCCATGTATAGATGTATTCATACAATAAATGTAAAAAATAATACATACTACTATCAAATACATTTCCAAACACCATAAATAATATATCGTTTAAGTTTTAAATATTAAAGTGGTATTAAATAATACTACAAATTAACTGCACTTGCATTTCTGAATATTAACCGTTTTATAGATTAGTATAAAAATTATAGAAAATACATTTGTTTAAACATAAATACTGGAAAATTGTTAGAGATTATTAATATATATATATATTAATAATATATATATATATACATACTTCACTACATCTTTGAACCTTAACAACTCATTAAAAATTATTTAGATTATTAAGTGCTAAGCACTTCATTAAAGCACGCCTTCATAACTTCGTATTTTCGAAATTAATTTCTTTCTTTTATCTTG